ATATTATATGCAGGTACTCCCAAAAAAATGTCGGATCTGCCACTGCTTTTCTTTTCTCCTTTTTCCTTGCTGAACTGTTGTTTTTGATGTTTCTACTGTTTGTAAGAACAGAAAATGTGCAAGTATGTTTCAAATTTCTAGAAAAGAATCCAAACTGTCTTTAAGGGATCAATTGTCATGAATTACATAGACCCTGAGAATATAACCTCTCTGAAGAAACATTAATCATTCACTACCACTTCGTACTTGACAAGCAGATAGTAATACCAGCAGGGCAACTGAAGGTCATAATTTAATGAAAACTGGAAAAGACAGCTTAGAAAGGGGTATCAACTTCACTCCTTGTTTCCGTAGGGCTATACAGAGCAGATTTGTTCCTTGGTCTGTTCTCTTCCAGCTGCTTCACAACTTCATCCATGGTGGGTCTCACTGAAGCTACCGGAGCACAGCATCCCATTGCAAGCTTTAATGCCTGAACTAATCCATCTTCCATCGGACTCCTGATACCCTTCAAGACTTCTACATCAAAAACCTCCATTGTTGTCTCTTCCAAGACTGCTACTTTCACCATTGAAGGCAAATCCACAGCATCATTGCCCCTTCCATTTTTCCCAGGCTTCTTTCCTATCAAAATCTCCAATAACAATATCCCAAACGCATAAACATCTGTTCTGGAGTTGCATTTCTTCATCCTTTGAAGTTCTGGTGCCTTGTAACCATCAGTCTTTGCAATGGCCACCATTTCATCAGCTACAGCAGGGATCATTAGTTTGTCAAGTCCAAACTCAGTAAGCCTGGCCACAAAAAAGTCATCCACGAGAACATTTTTTGATCTTACATTCCCATGGGTAATTGGTATCTCAAGACCCATATGAAGATATGCTAGTCCTTTGGCTATGCCCAATGCAATCTTGTGCCGTCGTGCCCAGTTCAGAACTGGCTTTCCTGCTCTCAATTCTGCGTTTAATCAGAAACACACAATAAGAATTCGATGAATTTGCATTCAGTGGCCACATGCAGCAAAAATTCAAAAGACTCGAATAACTTACCAATGACTTAATCTAGGGACAACAAATTTTTTTTTTTTAAATTACAAGAGAACTTACAGTCATAATCAACTATTACATCCATATATCACTGAATAATCAATCAATAAACTCAACAAATTAGAATATAACTAAACAATCAAACCCACACACAGTAGGACTTGAACTGAGGGGTTCTAGGGCCTCCTCCTTGCCACTAAGCCAAGGCCTTAATTGGCATTTGGCACAACATATTTAATTCAACATTTTAATGGTTAAAGTTAAATCAATAACAAACAACATAAATATCTTTTGCAAAAAAGACTTCTTAATGATGTATTCCTATTGCTACAGATTTTGTAGCATCAAAGAAAAATATTCAGCCTTGTTTGGTTTAAGAGCAAAATAGAAAAACTCCAACTTTTGATGCTGCTTTTACTCCATAAAGATATTTCTTTTGCTAAGTTTGACTACAACTCAAATTGTGAGATTTGAATTATCATTTCCATTTTCATTGGGGTTGAATATGGGAACTTGAATTTCAAATGAAGGATTTACATAACAAATTAGTACAAATTTGTGTAATAGAACTCTTAAAACCATAATAATTCATCAAAACCATGTATTTGTTACATCTCTATCAAGTAGTCAACTTGAAACTTGGATGGTAAACTGAATTATAAATTCATAACCCATGCTCTCTCAAACACATAGGTACATTCATCCTCACAAGTTGCATATCAAACAAAATCCAAGAACTATTTCCAAATTCATAAAATTCAGGAGAAATGGTCAAAAAGAAAAGTTAAAATATGCATACCATGTAAAAAGTCATGTAGGCTTCTATTTGGAAGATAGTCATAAATGAGAAGCTTCTCCCCTCTCTTCCCCTGATAGAAAGCTCTCAATGGAACCAAATTCTCGTGTCTAACCTTCCCCAGATGCTTTATGACTGGTAGACATGAGCTCCTATCCTTGCAACTGCCTTCTCTTAGTAACCTCAATGCTATATTTCCTCCATCAGCAAGCTTTGCCTTATAGACAGTCCCATAATTTGTCTTTTCCATGACTTGACCAGTTGCATTCAGTACATCCTCTAATGTCAAATGCTCGCCACCTTGGAACAAAAAAAGCTTACTCTCGCCACTACCTCCCCCAACGCTAGCACTGTTTTCATCTTCCTCTCCTTCCTCCAGCCCCTCTTCACTATATCCCCTACTTCTCCTTTTCTTGTTCTGCACATAGCCAATAAACATTGAAGCCAAAACTACCACTCCAGTCATCAGACCAATCACAATGCCAGCAATTGCACCAGGACTCAATTGAGACCTTCCACTGCAACTATTTAAAGGCAATCCACAAAGCCCTGGATTGTTCCCTTCAAAAACCTCTGCACCGAACTTTCTTTCGCCAAAAACGGGCAACACTCCAGTGAAGTTATTGTGGGAAAGATTTAATTTTTCGAGGTTTAAAGTGGCCAAACTCTCTGGAATTGAACCTGAAAGCATGTTACCTGAAAGATCAAGCTCTTTAAGAGCTTGAAACCGAGTTATAAACTCTGGTAAATTCCCTGAAAACTTGTTGTTACCCAAATCAAGGGACTGCAAATTCTTACAAGTAGAATTTGGTAATGGAGGTTCAGGAAGAGACCCAGATAGTGAATTACCATGAAGCCTAAGAGAAACAAGTCTATCACACAAGTTCCAGATGGAGGGAGCTAAAACCCCGGCGAGCAAGTTGTAACTCAAATCAATATCAGATAATGAAGAGCTGTAACCAAGTTCAAGAGGGACAGTCCCACTCAGTGAGTTAATGTTGAGGTAAAGACTTTGAAGCATCGAAAACTCACCAAGCTCTCTTGGGAGTGAACCAGTAAGGTTAGCAGAAGGGAGCTGAAGTGAAACAAGGTGTAAAAATGGGTCCTTGGAAAGAGAGAGGTTAGTCCATTGCGGAGAAGAAAGGTCATTGCAAGAAAGAGGAGTCCCATTGGAGAAGACCCATTTAAGTCCTCTCCATTGGCAAAGAGGAACAGAAGAGTTCCATGAAGATAACAGTAAGTTCTCAGTGTTACCTTGCAACGAAGCTTTAATCCTTCCCAAGAGAAGCTCAACATCTGGTGAAGAAGAAGAAGAAGAAGCAGACAATGACTCGGTGAGTGTTGTAGATAAGCCTTTGGTCAATACAAAGAAGAAGACAATGTAGAGGGAGTAAAGTTTGATCACCTCCATGAAAGGACCACAGAGAGAAAGAAAAGGAGGTGCAAAGTTTAATTGTTTAACGTTGTTTTGTGGAGTTTTCAACGAGGGAGAGGTTTTCGTTTTGGGAAAGCTGACAGAGTCTTGACTATGAGTAAGCTGACAAAGTCCAGTAACTCGACGGTCATGATTCGACCATCCAAGCTATATAGAAATTCAAACTTGTTGTCACCGTATAATCTTTCTTAATACCATCAAAATGTTAATCAAAGATTGCATCGTAACAAAATGAAAACGATCGGACGGCAAAGTTATGAGGGAGAGGGTACACTAGAATTTAAAAAAAAAAACTTTAGTAATCTACATTTTTAAATTACATTGAGTTTGCTTTATATATTATACTTTCATGAATTCTTTCTGCACGGTCGCCTTTGGGAATTTGTCCGATTTTTTTTTCTCATAACTATGCATTCTTTGAGAAAGAAAGGAAGGTTTTCTATGCATGACGCTGGACGGCAACAAGTCTTGTCCATTCCAGATGTAGTTTTCCAGGGCAGGTCCATTATTTATCTGTTGCTCTTTTCATCACCGCCCCTACATGTTTTCAGGGATACTACTTGAAACTAAAGGATCAGTCAGAGTACTTGTAATAAGTGATGGAAAAGAAGTCAGTTTTGTTGAGAGTGCATTGCTCTTGATGGACGTTCAAAGTAGTTTACGGATTTTTCGTGGGCCTATATGCTTGTGGGTCACAGTGCAAAAGCAAAGCTGAGGAAGGGGAGAAAAAGTGCATCTATGTCTACAGCTTAGACCTGAAAGAGGGGCCAAGGAGGAGTTTAATAGTTTTATTGCAGTTGAGTGAGTTACATCCCATGTCTCAATCCTGTGGAATCTTACATAAAAAAAAATTATCATATTTAACAAATCTAAGTAATGATTACCTTCATCCCTCTGTTAATAATGCAGCTTAAATAAATGAATGAATGGGAAAAAAAGAAAGAAGAAAACTTTCCAGAATCGAGAGTTCTACTCAAGAAAAACTGTCAATAAGGTTTAAATGCTAGACAGGTCAATAAAGTGAGAAATTTGGTGGGGAATTTTAATGGGGTTTTTACCACAATGAAAAACAAATGATTTCTTTTCAAACGTTATACAAATAATTGAGGACGCTTTCATTTAATGGGACCTCCAATTATGTCTCCCAGGAATAAAAACCCATCCCAAAATAAATAAATAAATAAATAATAAAGCTTTTTTTTTTTTGGTGTTTCCATGCTAAATTGGTAACTAAATGAAAACATCTGCCACTGTTCAAATTCACGCCTATTCTTAAGAAATCATTGATTTTCATTTTTTATCATCTAGTTCCAGTCTTTTTTGATAATCTTTGCCTGTCTCCCTGTCTGTCTCGTAATTCCAAGAATTTATCCTTATCAGAGAATTTTTAAATGAAAGCCAGAAAGGGTAAATGGAATTCGGTGGCCTCAACAAAGCCTGCTCTGAAGCCATTTTTCCTGAAATTAATGATATTTTATAGTATTTTAGACAATGTTATATTTCGTTTTATCAAATTTTCTTTAAACCTTTTAGACAGCTTTCAAGGAATATACATAGTTCTTCTCTTTCTTCACATACTTCAGCAATTTTCAGTGAGTATGAGAGTGAAACAAGAATAAACAGGTTCAAAATTTAACTAATTGAATATAAGTACTGAGGGAATCATATGCATGTATTTTATTGACAATTTGAAAGAACAAAATAAAATGGAAAATTTCTTTATTGCATTAACCTCTGTTCAGCATGATGGAGACATACTGATGGGCATTATTCATGGCCAATGAGCTTGTCCAGAGAATACCCCAAAGTCAGTTGCTTAAGCATTTAAAGGATCCATTGCAAGCATATACATAATAATTAGGCAGATAGTTTTAGATTTTTTGTAATAAATTTTGCCCCCACGCAGATGAATTGTCTGAAGAGAAAAAGAGTGTATAAATTCCACACAAAAAGTTTTTCCTTACAGTGTATACCCACAAATTTACATAGGGCTAAGTGTGATACAAAATTTGGATGATCAGAATTACCATGATCTTGCTGTTGTCATTTGTACTTTTCCATTATTTTTCTTGCTTCTTCTACAGGGTCTTCCATGGAGTCAGTGCCACCGCCTCCTCTTGGGCCTTGATCTTTGTTCAAGGCAAGAAATGCGAAATACACGAGTCCCATTGTGGCCTGCTCATCCATAAGAATGCATTATTCATCCTGGTTAGAGATTACAATAAAATGGTGCTTTGCCTCATTGCCTGTAGAATATCAGTGGCTGCCACCACCTTAGCAATGGGGAGGGAAGGTGAATAGGGGACTTCTTGCAGCGTGTGTATAATGACCAACTGGTTTTCATATTAACCATAATGGAGATAAAATTTCTAAGCTTAAAGTTCAGATATATCGTCTACAGGCAGATCCACAATTTTAACAAGTAAACAGAAATCCCAAGAGGGAAAATAACGTAAAACTTAGACACATAGGCGTCCAGTTATAATCTTCCAGCAAAAGAAATGGAGCAAGAAAGATAATGATATGGCATATTCCTTGAGGAAAAGTGCATGAACTGTCAGATTAGATATGCAATGATTTTTCGATCACCAAGAGCAACCAAGCCAGTGACCTTAAGTTATTCCAATTTCACAAATGCAAACAATACTTGTTACCTGATTCAAGCATAGACATAACATTTTGACCCTTAGAATGAATATTAGGTATGACTTGGTTCTCATGCAGGCATCCAAGAAAACTAAGAAGTGAAGGTTAACACGTTCTATGTTGCCCATGTTTCTTCTTGTCATTTATAAGGACGTTTTCCAGGTTTCTAACAGTGAACGGCAATCAGCCATTGTCTGACAGATGTAAATCAAGTAGACAACTATCTGACAGATGTAAATCAAGTAGACAACTACGTAAAGCTGCTAAATCATATTTTATATTTTGCATTTTACCAGGAAAATATGGCTTCAACTTTTATAGGCCTACTAACACAGAGAGGATGTGGCCCTGTTTTTAGATTCAGATAAAGTAACAGCACTTGCAATTTTCAACAGTTCAGAAGGGAACGCATTATTTGAAAGGGAGCTCTCAAGATTTAACCAAACAACTAAGGCTTTAAGGCAATGTTGCTTCTTTACATATCAAATTCAGATCACCATGTTGGATAGCTTAAATTCTTATAGGTTATGTTCATTCTAAGTATAGTAACTGCAAAAAAAATGAGACTATCACCCTAAATATTTGCTTGTAGTTGTTTGTAGCAGACTTCCACTGTCCACAAGGGCACGTTCTCTCTCCTTGCATCTAAATTTTAGGGAACAACAGGTCCATTTTGTGCCTCTGAAAGTAAAATACAAGTGCATGCAATTCCACAAGCCATATGTGTTTAACTTCTAGTACCGAACTGATGTTGCTATCTAAAACCTCTCTTGGATATAAATACAGAATTCAATATATGGAAGAAATGCACGGCATTGCATAATAATAACCAAATACACTTTGTTAAAATCAGCAACAGTTTTTTTTTTTTTATATTATAATAGCAGTAAAGTCATGGGCAGCAGCCACCAACTATGAAGCTATCATAAACATAAATCATATACAGAATATGCTGCAGCAAAACCAATATGTAATCATCAATCATATATTCCCATGGATGGGAAGAAAGAAAGACAACATACCAGCACAAAGAAAGCTGTAGACAGGAATGACTTGAGAACAAAAAGTGTAACAGTCAGAGCAACTATTGTCACAGAGATCCTTGCTATTGGCCTCGGTATGGAGTCCTGAACTCAAAACATAAGAAAGAATACCTTCACTATAACTTTAATTTGACACAAGAGTCACAGGAGCAAAATGATGAACTTACTGGCACTAAATTGGTTCCAGCTTCAATTCCATCCTTCCCAACTTTCCACACTGTTTGAACAACTATTCATAGAGTTCAAACTGGTTGTGAGTACAAATTGAGAACAAGAAATTGAACCTTATTTGTTTGAATTAGCATGAACCCTACAGTTTATCACTGAAAGTAGTATGCTAATTTGATTGTGTGCATCCAACGCAGTATGTGAGCTACATAAAAGATAAGAAAGCAAAATGTACAAAGAATTTACTAATCAAAAGACCCACATTATATTACACAATTAAAAATTTTTATGTTACTAATATTTTCGTTTGTTTCATTAGCTCAATAGAATTAAATATACTTGTATAAATCATAAATCCCATTCTCAATCACATTATTTTTAAACATCCAACAAATAACAACGCTTATTCCAAAGACTAAAAAGAAAGAGACAATAATAGCAAACCTTTGAAGAAGTTTGACTGCAGCGCATAAACCAAGGGTTTTGGGGATAAGGGCTTGTTGAATTTGATATTTGAGAAAAGGGTTTTACTCTTTAACCTTAAAAAGGTCATGGAAGACAAGAAATGGGAGTGGGTGAGAGCTAGGGTTTGGTTCTTGTAGTAACATTTTGAAGAGAGTGGTGATACAGAGCACAGGTTATGAACCATAGCGAAGGAAGCCATGAAACAGAAAAAATACTAAATTTACGTTTGTTAAGATATTTAAGTTTCTGAAAAATCAAGAATTCTGTTAAAAAAGAAACTTCCCTTGCCTAGATGCCTGCTGTAATTTGACTATTAAAATTCATGGATGTTGAAACTCCTTCAATTATCTTTGTTGTCACTGTCAGTCGCCAGAATCCTGATACTCGTTACTCTCCACCTCACAAAAAATGGGGGAAAGGGCCCACTTACAGATTAGCCCAACCCATAAAAGTGAAACTTTGGGTGGAGTTGGACTCGGACAGACCCAATTGAAATTGTTTGATTATCTAATGTGCTGGTTTAGCTTATAAAGAAGTTAATAAAAGTGGAGTTGGATTTTATTTTAATCAGGGCTTTGATAAAACACCAAAAAAGAAAAAAAAAAAAGTGAGTTAGATTCCCTGTGGGGCAGGTTTCCAAGGTCACCACCACCTTGAGCTCTGGGCTGTCTCAGCGTTTTGAATCCTTAAGCTTTAATGCCATTAGGTAGGCTCACATTTTTTTTTTCATTCTTTTGATTTTATAATGCTAGTGTTAAAAGTTTGCAGTAGGATCAGGTTTTGAGTCAGGCTAATGGTTGAAATTGTGTTCATTCACATGGGCTTAACCTCAAAGTTAGGGACATTATTCACGGTTTTAAACATTTCTTGTCTTGTTTCACTTTCCTTTTATCTGCCACCTGGATGCTGTAATAGTGTGTCTAAGTAGAGTTCAAGTAATTAAACTCTAGGAGGACCCTGACCATTTGCTTCCTAAGCAAGACATATCCCCGGCACAAGCATTGGTTTAGGTTAACAAGCATGTAAGGCCAGCCATGTCAGGAAACAATAAGTATTGTAGCAACTAGCAATTTAAAGTTCATATGAAAACAAATAAGGTGACATCAAAGTTGGAAACTCGATAGCAATTAATCCCCCATTGAGGCATTGACATCAAGGTTGAATACCAGATTGAGTTAGCTATAGACAAGGAGAAGATGATGCCACGGTATGTACTTCTTATTCTGATTATAATTAAATACACCTTATGCTTTGCATCCTTTTTTTTTCTTTTCCAAAAGAAAAGATGATGCTTATCTTGTTAATCGTGTTCCACAAATTGCTTTATGTTATAGTATAATTTTGGCCATAGCCACCTGTTTGAGGACTGAGAAATCCCAGGCTAAGAATCATGGCTGGAGAGGGGGGAAAACAAGAGAACAGCTAGCTAAAACAGGTAGTTGGGTGATTTATTTTAGCATTTTTAGAAAGGATGGAGGAATCTCTCACACAAAAGTTCCATGGAGGTTTTGTTTTTGGAATGCCTACCCCCTGCCGTAGGAATCCAACGTTGCTAAACACAATGGAAACAGCATTTATGAAATTGTGAAATCAAATTTTCTTCTTTGAGGAAATAAAAGGGAAAAGAATCAAAGGTGCTTGACTGCCCTCAAAGGTTTCGCTCAGTTATAAAAAATAAACCAGCCCATTCTACTAATAATTTTGAGGAAAACTATGCCAAAACACATGGCTTATCTGCTCATGACTAATCTAACAAAACATATTCAAATGTAAAAGATTAGAAGATTACAAGAAAAGGACAGAAGCCCGAGGTGAAGGTGGTGATAGTGGTGCGGTTCCAAATCTTTAATGCTTTCTTTATCTACCTTTTCCTTGCTTGACGGCAAAGGACATATATTAGTAGAAATAGCTATAGACTAATTGCACTAAAAGCTCATGTAGAGTAAGTTTTAGATAAGCAAAAGGGGAGAGAAAGTGAGAGAGATAGAGAGAACCAATGCAAAATCAAGAAGACTGGTTTGGGATTTGAAGCAATTGTCAATGCCAATGCCGATGTCGAGGCAGTCCAAAAACTACAAGCAGAAGCAAATGCCAAGGCAATCTTTAACCACTCACCACCACTATCGCCTTCTACCACTCTTCCTCTTTACGCTTTTACGGTATGCTGTTTCTGCAGCAAATAATGAAGTTATTGCATTAGTATCTTGGCTTCACAGCTCCCCTTCACCTCCTTCAGCGCTCTCCAACTGGCATCCTTCAGACCCCAACCCTTGTAGCTGGTCTTACATCACTTGTTCTTCCAAAAACTCTGTCATTGAAATCAATATCCAGTTTATCGAGCTAGCTCTTCCCTTCCCTTCCAATCTTTCGTCCCTTGCTTTCCTTCAAAAGCTTGTCATTTCTGGTGCTAATCTCACTGGAACAATCCCACCAAATATTGGAGACTGCATGCAACTATCCGTTATTGATGTCAGCTCAAACAGTCTTGTTGGTAGTATTCCTTCAAGTATTGGGAAGCTTAAACATCTACAGGACTTGATTTTAAACTCCAACCAGCTCGCTGCGGCAATCCCAGCAGAGATTGGTGAATGCAGCAGCCTTAAGAATCTTCTCATATTTGATAACTATTTAAGTGGAAATCTTCCAGTTGAACTTGGTAAGCTGTCAAATCTGGAAGTTATACGTGCTGGAGGGAACAAGGATATTGCAGGAAAAATTCCAGAAGAGCTTGGAGACTGCCAGAACCTGAAGGTGTTGGGTCTTGCTGATACTAAAATTTCTGGTTCGATTCCTGCTTCTCTAGGTAAGCTAAGCAAACTTCAAACTCTATCAGTATATACAACTATGCTGTCAGGCGAGGTTCCACCACACATTGGCAACTGTTCAGAGCTTGTAGACTTATATCTGTATGAGAATGATCTTTCCGGGTCACTTCCGCCAGAGTTGGGTAAGCTCCAGAAGTTGGAAAAGTTGTTGCTATGGAAAAACAACTTTGATGGGAGTATTCCTGAGGACATAGGAAACTGCAAAAGCTTGATAACTATTGATCTTTCCTTGAATTATTTTTCTGGCAGCATACCTCAGTCATTTGGAAACCTCTCGAATCTTCAAGAGCTCATGCTTAGTAACAACAACATCACCGGCACTATTCCACCAGTTCTTTCTAATGCCACAAGCCTAGTACAGTTACAGCTAGATGCTAATAAGATATCAGGATCTATTCCAGCAGAGCTTGGGATGTTAACGGAGCTGACAGTCTTCTTTGCGTGGCAGAACAAACTTGAAGGAAGCATTCCAGCAGAGTTGGCTGGTTGCAGGAGCCTCGAGGCTCTAGATTTGTCGCACAATGCACTCACTGGTAGCTTGCCATCCAGTTTATTTCAGCTTCAAAATCTAACAAAGCTTCTCTTAATTTCTAATGACATTTCCGGCACGATCCCTTTGGAGATAGGTAATTGCAGTTCTCTTATCAGAGTCCGGCTTGTTAATAACAGAATCAGTGGAGGGATCCCAAAAGAGATTGAGTTCCTTGACAAACTCAGTTTCCTTGATCTGTCTCAAAACCATCTTGGTGGCTCAGTGCCAGATGAGATTGGTAACTGCACTCAGTTGCAGATGCTGAACCTGAGTAACAACACCATTGAAGGTTCTTTGCCTAGCTCGTTATCTTCTCTTACGAGACTTCAGGTATTGGATGTTTCAGTTAATCGGTTTAAGGGACAGATTCCCCAGAGTTTTGGCCAACTTACTTCACTTAGTAGACTTATCCTTAGCAGAAATTCTCTCTCTGGAGCAATCCCCTCCTCTCTTGGTCATTGTTTAAATCTTCAATTGCTCGATCTTAGCAGCAATGCAGTATCTGGCACAATCCCAGAGGAACTGTTTGATATCCAAGCTCTAGATATTGCTCTGAATCTAAGCTGGAACGCACTATCTGGGGTAATCCCACCTCAAATTTCTACATTGAACAAGCTATCCATATTGGACCTTTCACACAACAAGCTTGAAGGTGACTTGCTAGCACTTTCTGGGCTAGACAATCTAGTTTCTCTGAACATCTCCTACAACAATTTCACAGGATATCTTCCGGATAGCAAGTTGTTCCGACAGTTATCACTAACAGAAATAGCAGGAAACCAAGGGCTATGTTCCAAGGGCCACGAGTCATGTTTTCTCAGCAATGCTGCAGCAACTGGTATGCAAAGTGATAGTGCTTTCAGACGATCACAAAAACTTAAAATCGCTATTGCCTTGCTTGTTACCTTGACCATTGCATTAGCAATCTTTGGGGCTTTTGCAGTCTTTAGAGCTAGAAAGATGATAGGAGATGATAATGATTCTGAGATGGCAGGGGATTCATGGCCTTGGCATTTCACTCCATTCCAGAAGTTGAATTTCTCAGTTGATCAAGTTTTGAAACGTTTAGTGGAAGCTAATGTTATTGGAAAGGGTTGTTCAGGGATTGTTTATCGTACAGAACTTGAAAATGGGGAAATAATTGCTGTAAAGAAGCTTTGGCCATCGACAATGGCTGCCGGATATGATTGTCATAGTGACAAGATTGGAATAGGCGGAGTTCGTGATTCCTTTTCTGCTGAGGTAAAAACTCTTGGTTCAATCCGCCACAAAAACATAGTCAGGTTCTTAGGCTGCTGTTGGAACCGAAGCACAAGATTGCTTATGTATGATTACATGGAAAATGGAAGTTTGGGTAGTCTTCTTCATGAGCGCAGCGGTAGCCGCTTGGAATGGGAACCTAGATATAGAATTGTCTTGGGGGCAGCTCAAGGTTTGGCTTATCTACACCATGACTGTGTTCCTCCCATTGTTCACAGGGATATCAAGGCCAATAACATTCTGATTGGTCCCGAATTTGAACCCTACATTGCTGATTTTGGACTAGCCAAGCTTGTTGATAATGGAGATTTTGCAAAGTCTTCCAGCACGGTTGCTGGCTCCTATGGTTACATTGCTCCAGGTTAGTTCAAAATTCTTACATATCAGAACTATCAGCATATACCAGGAATTTTCATTTTTTCTAAAAACACTCAATAGTTGTCAAAAAACAAAAAAAAATTAAAATTTTTGTACTCGTGGAAACTTTACAAGCATTTATTGTAGAATGCAAAAATTTACTAACCCATATATCATGGTTCATGACCAATTAACTAATGATTCAATATTGTCAGCACATTATTATATACTGCAGAATGTGTAAAGCTGATAAACATGTATGGTTTCACTTTCTTTCTATCATTATTACATTATTTTCCTGTTTCATTCTAGGAATTGTACTATTTGTGATGTTTCACCATCTTATCAATATCATGTTCTAATTTCACAGTGGTAAGTCTGGAGTGGTTTTATATTTTGGTGGCTGTTGTCATTGCAGAGTATGGCTATATGATGAAGATAACAGAGAAAAGTGATGTGTATAGCTATGGAGTTGTTGTTTTAGAAGTGCTAACAGGAAAGCAACCAATTGATCCAACCATACCGGGTGGGCTCCACATTGTAGATTGGGTCAGACAGAAAAGAGGAGGAATTGAAGTGCTAGATACCAGCTTACAAGCTAGGCCTGAATCTGAGATTGAGGAAATGTTGCAGACATTAGGGGTGGCTTTGCTCTGTGTAAATCCTTCCCCTGATGATAGGCCCACCATGAAAGATGTAGCAGCAATGCTAAAGGAAATAAAGCAGGAGAGGGAGGAGTGCATGAAAGTCAGCATGGTTCTCAACGGCTCTTCGGACTATAAATATAATCATCGAGGAAACAGCAATCCCCCATCATCAATGATGCAGAACTCATATCCCCAAAGCAGCAGTACAAGCTTTTCTGCATCTTCATTGCTATACTCATCTGCTTCCAATGGTAAACCAGCTTTCAAGTAGTTAGAAACAATAACTTATATTTACCAGGCAGTTAAGTTTCAGATAGAAAGAAATTCACTCAACCCTAGTTCAGCTGAAAAACTGTCTAGTATTTATTTATTTTTTCCCCCTTTTGGTTGAAAACTTTGGTCTCTATATGTAAAGTTTGGAATAAGTGATTGAAAAGCAGCAAAAGAAAGATTTCTTTTCAAGATATGTAAATTTTCATAAACCATAGGATGGAAGAAAAATTTTAATGAAGTTACCCATTTAACAAGTTCCATTATCTGAAATGAAAACAAGGATTTCTTACAGCAACAACAATCACTATTTTCATGCACTTTTCTCCAGAGAGACAAAACAGAAAAGAACATAGTCAAATGATTTAAGAACCCAGAAGTGTGATATTAAAACAACACTACATGAACCAAATTACTGAAATTACAGTCATCATGTTTTATTCACAATTACTGAATAAAGTAAAACCCACATATGTTACAGGATTTAATCGAGAAATATACTTGTTTCAAAACTTCGTAGCCAGTTTGATGTGAAGTCCTGTGTACCTCCTCGAGCAACGGAAGAATGAAGTTAATTCTAGTAACTGACCCTCTTTTTGGGTATTGGGTGAATGGACAACTTAATCTGATTGTTGTGTATAAAAAGAAAAGGGAAAATTTTTCTTTGATTTATTTCCCATTCTGAAATGTCATAGCAAGAAAAATGCCCAAAAAAATGGATCACAGTCTTCCGTGTTTGTTGATGTAAATCCATCAAAGGTCTTAGTACCATGCAATATGGTTATAAATGGTTTTATTGGTACAGTTAGGGCCAATTTGCTTTCGAAAACTCTTATTCAAAATCTAATCGGGCTTGTTTGGCAAACAGGCCTGAAAATTTTATATTTAAATATTTTAAATATAAATGTTTTTATTAATTAAATAATATCTTGGTCTTGAGCTTCAAAAATTCTGTCAAACACTCTCCTTCAATAATAGGTCTAATCTATAGTTTTGATGAGAAAGAAAGCAAAAAATTATGGAATAAATATATACTAGTATTTTGTAGCAAGGCTACATGGAAAAGATCTTTTTCTTTAAATAAATTTTAATTTATAAAAAATATTATCTATCAAAAATATTTTTAAAATATTATATTGTTCCATATAAATTTTAATATATTTGAATATCAATATAATTATATCATTAATAACGATAATTTTATTAATAATGATAGTTTCGATAATGAAATAAAATTAAAAATAAAATATATTAAAAATAATTATACATAAACTACAAAATTTGTTAAGAAGAATCACAAACTCAACAAAATAGTCACCATAAAATATGACAAGAACGATGAAATGAATAATCATATAATAGATCATATCTAATGGCAAAGTTTTGACATGATCATCTCCATCTGGAAATCATCAATTAAAGTTGTTGAAGAATAATGAAATTCCAGAAATTAGCTAGCCTCATCAAACACTTTTAGATTAACATAGAATAACAGCTGCATATCATCCATTCTTATAATAATATATATAATAATAATATTGTTGTAATTAAACAAACTCTATATAGTGGTATAAGATTACACTTTCAACGACATACACGTTGGAAAATTTGTAGTACACATCTGACTCCTCCTACGCTCCTACCAAAGGCAAATCACAGTAAAAATTAAAAAGCCTTGGCATATTTTCCTGACCTATTCTGTCTCCAAAACTCCTTAATTGTCTCGGCAGTTGGGATTCCAACACTAGCATTTGACTGTGAAACCAATGAAGGGGGCAGAGAATCAAATAAAGTGTCACAAAAGATGATCTTTTACCGTCCATTTGTCCATTCCTTCTCATGCATGAAGGAAATGTGGCAATGGTTTGTTGAGGTATGCACCCTCTTTGTTTTTTTTATTTTTTCTTTTCTCTTATTAAAATTTCCCATTAGTTTACTGTTTGTGTGATGGGTGATGACGAACCATTAATGACAGCAACTGGAGAATTTGCATGCTGGTTTTTCTGCGATTTTCCTGATCTCTTAGTCTCCAATTTTGGTCCTGGTTGCCGTACCTTAACTCCTCGTATCAACTGTGAGATCCATTTAGTTTATTTTTAATAAGAAATCCACATAAAAATTAGGAACGAAAAAATGTTAATAAGGTACATACATATTTAGCACATTTCACATCTGAGTATATGACTATAAAATCTCCTTCTTGGAGCCCATTTGTTCTCACGAAATCTCCTAGAAGAAGAAAAAATTAGTTGATTATTATTATATATATAATAATAAATTCAAGGAACTTTAGAAAAAATCGAATGAACTCTATTATCTAATATATGTGTACCTGTATTTTCAAGAAGATACATCCTGCTTTTATTGTTTGGCCAGAATCTGAAACTCCATAAAGAGAAGAAAAAATAACAAAGGCAGAAAAAAAAAAAAGATGATTTAGAAAAAGTAATAGCATTATCTAAGTTAAATTTTAGAATACCTATAGCGCATGTTCCAAATACGAGATGTTCCTATGTCTTCCATGGCAATGGTGATCCCATCTCTTGCTTCTAGTTCTGGGAGATGAGTTTCTGCTTCTTTCTGTTTCCATTCCAAAAAAGAAAAAAAAATTGTAATCAAAATTCAAATACACTAAAATTACAAAAAAAAAAAAAAAAAAAAACTCAAATTTATCATCCATGGAAAATAACGATATTATTCTCTAAAAGTGATAAGAGGAAGACGAAGGATACCTTTGGAAGCACAATTCTTCCGAGATTTCCCACATCGCTCTGCTTCAACACTTTTTGCAAAAGAAACCGCAAATTCTTTTCAGGTTTCCATCCCTAAAACACATCCAGGAAAGCAAACAGCATCATTACTTGCAAATATACATTTAACGCTCATATCTTAATCATGCATCAATAGTTACAACACCCAAAAATTAATGTATCTGATCGTCACAATAATAAAAAAAAAAAGATCGAAGATCAAAGAACACACCTGTCTTCTATCCGATGCCACCGGCCGCTGATAAGTCTGCCCTTGCATGGCTGGTCGATCCACAGGATGTACCAAAGCAACTTCACCAGGCAGAACCGGAGGGCTTGAAGCTACACCGTCTGCAACCGATGGCCAATAGACCCAGTTTCTGAGGTTGGCTTGGGCTGCCGGCACACAGCTATCGTTCACAAGCCTTGCATATTGGTCAACACTCTGATTTTGGAGTTGGCTTTGTTGATTATTATGATGATTGTGATTTCTATGGTGTGAAGAAAACCTTCTGTGCCTAGCCATCCTCTTCTTTCTTGCCTCTTTAGTAGCAGATGAGCCCAACCTTACTAACCTTTGATCATTATCATGGCCGTAAACATATTGATACGGATATTGATTCCCATACCCCGGAAAAGCAGATGGCTGAGGTGGAGCTGGACGCAGATTATTGTCTGGAAATAAGTTGTATTGAGAAGCCAAAGCAAATTGTGAAGCTGCCCTTGTTTGAGCCGAGTCCAGCATTTGATAATCTGTTGGAGGCTGGTAAGGATGGCTAGTAACATTAGAAGCTCCATTGGCAAATGGGTCGGCCATATAGCCAACCACTGGTGCAAAACCTACTACCTCCGCTGCCGTCGGATCAGATACATATGCTGGTTGTGGAATCCAGGGTGGCAAAGGGAAACAAGAATTCGGTTCAGACGGTGGAACAGAATTGCAATTGAGGTTTGGGTTCGAGCTAGGTTTTGGATTAGGGTTAGGGTTTTGGAAGGGGTCTTGGCATTGGTAGGGAAGATCAATGTTATTACTGGCAGCTGGTTCTTTGATGCGCCGTTTTTGAAGATGATTAGTTTGAACCCATTCAAGAATAAGCTTCAACAACTGCTTCATGGCCTCTTTTCCTCCACCCAAACGCCTGGCGGCACACTCTATGGTAGCTTTCCTGATTTTAACTCTCCTCAAGTCCTCTGCTGAGACAGTCTCTTTGTTAGTCTTGAGCCACTCCAAGAAAACCATGGCTAAATTATCTGAAGCTTTCTGCTCTTGGGTCGGATCTTCATTTTTGCTACATATCATTGATACTTCTTGATCCAGCTGTTGTGACTGTTCCTGTGGCTTCTGCTCTTGTTGAAAGTCTTCTAGACCAGTATTATCATGGTGAAATATAGAAGGATCGAAAAAATCTTTGTCATCAGGCAGATCCATGTACCCAAAATTCTCCATAACATCCATGCAATCAACACCATCCATAACATTATGATCTGGCGGCTGAGGAATCTCCATGGAGGCGGTGGAAGATAACGTTGCAGTTGTTCCATCCACCAGATCATGCTGATTATGGTGTTGATGATTATGATTATGATGATGATGATGATGACCATGACCATTATTCTTTCTCTTTGCCTCTTCAGCTGCATCCGACTTCAAAACTGCCCAAGAAGCCGCGGAAGAAGAAGACGATGCAGTAGAAGCAGAAGACGAACATGCAATGGCCTTGACAGGTGCCGGGGTCGACGAAGAAGACGACATGCAAGGAAAATCAGGAAGAGGAGGGAAATCATCATAGAAAATTGAAGCAGCGTTAACATCAAGCAAGTGATCGTGTTGCTGTCGATCAAGCCAGATCTCTCTTTCTTCTGTACCCATGGTCGTCACTCTTTCCGCCTCAACAGCATCAACCCCTGAAGGATTTGCTTCATTTCTATAGCCTGCATGCAGATCTTCACCACGCAACTGTTGTTGTACACCTTTCATATCAAATACCATTTCTCTTTCTTTTTTTTCCTTTTTTTCCTAAATAAACTTTAAAAAAATGCAACTTGAAAACCCTTTTGAGTAGTACTGCTTTTATATTTTGAGGCAGATAGATGTAGAGAGAGAAAAATGGATAGTAAAAAAATAGGGTTTTCTGTGTACTGATAAGTGCAAGGGGAAGATTGTATCTCTTTAAGGAAGCGAAAGAGAGAAAAAGGGCCCGCTTTGGCTACATATCAGAACCTCAACAGAGCGAAGCAACAAAAAGCATTGCTTTTATGAATCTATCGAAATAATAAACAATTACCCTAAAATTACCTTCAAAGAAACCGACCTTACCTTACACTTAACTTTGCGTAATTACGACTAAATTGAACCATTATAAGAGGCTCTGATCAAATAATTCTTTTCAACATTAACACCCACCCGAAGAAGAAAACATTAAATCCAATTAAACTACAACAAACCGATACACTATAATTTTACACAAACTTGTGGATCGGCTGCCAATGAATATAGCAGCAAAAAGAAAGATGATAATAATCAGAACCGAGAAGCCAAGCAAGATGACCTTGTGATGATGATGAAGAGACCATTTTTGAAGGCACCCACATGTGTAAAACCTCAGAAATTTAAAGCACCCATGTGTGTTTCTGGTTTGTTCCAGAGGAATTTTCAATTGTATATGTCAAATCCCTTTGTTTTTCTTTTGTTTTGTTTTTGAAGATAAGATGGAATTCGGAATTTTAGGGGCTTATACTTTTTTGTAGACAATGGACTTAACCGAGAGACAGAGAGGGACAGTTTTTGAGAGAGAGATATTGATTAGCAAAAGAAAAAACAGCAACAAAAACAAAACCTCGTGCCGCTACTTTCTCAGCCTCTCACTCCGGATTTTGTGCAACCAGCCACGCTTTCCCACTTGAATGGCGCATACGGGCGGTGCCTCATACTTTAAGTACAAAATCGAAGAGAGAGTGGTCAACACTCTACCTTTCACAATTTCTAGTTCTGGTCTTGTTTGATCATGTTTTTTTTTTTTTTACATAGGATAAAGTGGTAAATGTAAAAATTAAAATTTCAAATTAATTATATGTTATTTTTAAAAATAATTGAATGAATCAATTTTCACGAATTTTCAATCGTACCCATATTGCAACGTCACTATTCAATTCATTATTTTTTCTCATTTTAAATAAATTACTAGTATCTTAGTTGCTTAATTTCTCCATGCTTTGAGGTGAGATATGATCCAAAGTTTACTGATTTACTGCTACCCCTTTGTATACAAATAATAAAACATCAAATATTTGATTTAATTGATTGCTAAGTGATATTGCTTAAAGCAGAGTTTAATTTATTTTTCAAATAAAAAACAAAAAAAAATGTAACTCCTACATATAATTAATAAATAAAAAATATATAATGAAAGTACTCTTTGGATAAACTTATAAGAGTTTGTTTTTATATATTAACAGTCTAAATTTTCAACTCTACGAGTAATAAAATTAAAGAATTAACATGTATTGATTATTAATTAATTATTTTTAATACATAAAAATATATTTTATTATGACACTTGTCAATGCTTTTTAAAAACTTCATCATAATGTATGAGATAATTTTCTGATTTTTAATATAAAACAAATTTACTAATCTGCTGCTAGTCACATTAACTAATTGATATGGGAAATATTGAAATGCCTTTGAACCGTATGCAATGGTATGTGAAAGCAACAAAATATTATCTATCATCTAAATTGTCTTTATTTGAGAGAAAGAATAAAATTAATTATACGTCCAACTGTGAGTATAGTATTTTAGTCTCAATACATAGTTTGCCGACGAAATAACGTTAGTGCCGTCAAATTCCAAAAATGTATATACATCAAAGGTACATTGATTCAACAGCAAGTTTAAATATTGGGTTCAGACAATTAAAATTGTTGAAGAAAACTCTGCAAGCTCTCATGTCTGACAAATGAGAGAAGGGTTTTCTTTTTTTTTTTTTTTTTATCAACAAATTTTACAGGGTGTATTAGTTTGTCATGATTCGTGGGTGAGGCGGCGTAGGGCTCAAATTGCAGCTACGTGTCCATGCAAATATTCGGACGTAACCTTAGCTCTTTTACACTACCAATAATGATAACTGAAGAAGCTGATCTCTCGCTCTCTTCTTCGTTTCCCATTCTGATACCTTGACCCAAAGTGGTATGTTTCGGAATCTGACAGACTTGTAGAGCACCGCCACGTTTGCTCTCACCTTTATTTTGATTGTATTTTGATTGGGTGTTTTTGACTCCGTACATGCATTTGCAAGCTGGGAATTTTTTTGTCTTTAATTTTGTTTTGGAATTTGGAATCAGGGAATGACACGTCAATGTTGTTTGATGGCCGACGTTGGACTATTTAGACATTAGTGTTCTTTTGTACTAGGAAAAATCATCGTGTGCAGATAGAAAAAATTAGTTAGATGGATCGAATTAGTTCGAATATGCCAATGTACGCACCATTACTAATATTATTACATGAAGCTATAGCAGCTGCAATGAATATTCAATTCAACCACTTTATCATCAGCTAGCAGATGACAGACATCACTCACCTTCCTTGGTTATTGTTGGTAATCAGTCAAATAACAAAATTAAACCAGAGAGTTGGATTTAACAAAAAACGCAAGGCAAAATACTTATAAAACTTATATTCTATTGATCAGTTGCACAAAGCACGCCACTTTCATGAAACAGCTACACTGTTGTGTCTGTCTCTCATTTAAGAGGTGAAAGATACTCAGATGTGGACGATACCGCTTCATAGCAAACCCTAGCAGTAGTAATTACCATGATCAGTTCAGCAAAGGTAGTACCAGTGCAATTTTTTGCTGCTTCCTTACCAAAAAGGTTAAAAATAAAAAACTTGATGGCTAAATTCATAATAAATTACACATATATATACATATAAATTGCGATCTAAAATAAGATAAGATAAAAAAATATTATAAATGTTGAGAATGTTAACTCTTAAGAGTTGCTGTAGGAACAAATTAAATTAAAATTGAAAGTTTAATAGATGCACATATTGCCTTTGAAATGAAATTTAAAATTTAATAACCCGAGCCCTATGTACCAAAGTTGAATGTAGGCATTGTTTGGCTCCTTAGCCTTTGTGGGCAACAAGCGACAGGCCTGTTCAAGAGATAGTATGTGGGCAAATCATCAATGGGTTCTCCGCAACAAAGCCCTGGTACCCAATGTAAATTAACAGATGATGATGATATGGGCCTTCGACATCTGCCCCCTCAAATGGTTTTGGATTTCGAGTCAAAAGCTAAGCACTAGGCCATTCCCTTAATGGACTTACGAGTTAGTTGTTACAGGCAAACGATTTGTGTTTTCTTTTCTTCCCAAAAGATGTGCATTTACTTCAGTTTTCCTCTAATTTTTAATCACTCAGTAAATAGTAAATACCAAAATGATCATCATCAAACATTCCAGGACAGAGCGTGCACTAAAAGCACTCACTTCTCCTGTATAGCCAAGGAACAGTTTTAACTTCATAAAAAATGCTATAAACAGACGTATTAATAGTGGGTCTCCCTGCAATGAATTTAATGACTTCTGCCATGCCAGAAATTAAGGATATTCAAATGCCATAAAACAAAATTACATACATCCATTAATGTAGTTTCATTACTTTGGTGGATTGCAAATCATTTAACCAAATTTATCTCTTTTTTTTTTTGGTATTTACTTCAACTAAGTTTATCAAATATTCTGAAATTAGACAATCTGCATTCATCATCAGTCCTACAATGCAAGAAAATTAAGACAAAAAAAATTAAGAAATGCTGGACAATGTTGCCTTATAAACCTTTCTAGTTCTACTTCTACATATAGTTGAGTATTATAAATATAATAATGAAAAGGAAAAAGGGAAATTTATTGGAAAACAAAAAAAAAAAGAGTTGTTTCTGTAAGAATATGTCCTGCATACTTGTTCTAGCAATAGCCTTATCTCCATTTACTTCAAGTTCCTCTGAACCTGGTAAAGACTTGTTATGTGCATGCTGTCAATGGAGTGAGCTAGAAGAAGATATTGTTTCTGCATTGCAAGTCTGGTGAAAATGATTTGGGCGTCCACAATCTCAAGGTTTCAGTTGGAAATTCAAGCCACACATCTTGGGGAAAACGCTGTTCTGGTTCTACGTCGTGGCTTCAGACAACGTTCATGCTTCTGTCGACGTCAAAGGATCTTGTAAATTGCACTTCTATAATTGATTTATATAGACCCATTCGTGAATTAATTATAAAATTATGATCTTGTTGGCATCTTGTAAATTTTATTTCTATCGATGTCAAAGGATGATGAATTGATTGTAAGAAGTAAGAACATGAAGCTTCAAGGTTTTTTTCAGCAGTTAATTAATATTGAATTTTACTCTTTGATTAAATTGTTCAATTTCTTATATATCGAATTTAGCCCAAAAAAGTCCAAAACAAAGGCTCAATTACAACCAGACTGGGCCAATGATCCAATAGATTCATAGCCCATTTTTCCATTTGCAACACTACAGGAGGAAAAAAAAAAAAAAAGGGAAATTACAGTCTCTCTCCCAGTATAAAAGACCGACGAGGTAACTTGATCCCAAAGCACCAACTTTTTGTGAGGTCCCCCAAAAATCATCTACGAAACATCAGCTCAATATCGGAGACCCAAAGCGAACCCTAAACCATGGGTCAGGGAACACCCGGCGGTCTGAATCGGCAAGGTCTCCCTGGGGACCGGAAACCGGATGGCTCTGACAAGAAGGAGAAAAAATTTGAGCCAGCGGCACCCCCAGCCAGAGTGGGTCGCAAGCAACGAAAACAGAAAGGACCCGAAGCAGCGGCTCGGCTTCCGACTGTTACGCCGCTGACTAAGTGTAAGCTCCGGCTGTTAAAGCTGGAGCGGATCAAGGACTATTTACTGATGGAAGAAGAGTTCGTCGCTAACCAGGAAAGGCTCAAGCCGCAGGAAGAGAAAGCCGAGGAAGATCGATCCAAAGTCGATGATTTGAGAGGGTCGCCAATGAGTGTGGGTAATTTGGAGGAGTTGATCGATGAGAATCATGCGATTGTTTCGTCGTCAGTTGGGCCGGAGTATTATGTTGGGATTTTATCGTTTGTGGATAAGGATCAGTTGGAGCCTGGATGTGCTATTTTGATGCACAATAAGGTAATTAAAGTCTTAAGCTTTCTAGGTTTTTTTTTTTTTTAGGTTTAAGTTTTTCTTATTAGAGAATTTAAAGGGAAAATTATTTAAGTATTATTTTTGCTGGAAGGATACTGAACTATTTTGATGAATTTTTTAAATTTCAATTTAGAATCAATGCTGGGGTAATTATGAGATTTTGTGTCTGCAGTTGCAAGCTGATAGAACTGCTGCAATTTAGCAGGGTTTTAATCATGAATTCTTACTTCAGCTTAAGTTGATGAGCTTTAAAAAATGAACTTTTTATCAAAGCTTGAATTCGTAAATGCGTTCAAACCATGCTCTAGCTCTCAAGCTTGAGGTTTTCTCAAATAAATATGAGTGAGGCTTGATAAGAAAATAAACAAACTCAAGAATGAGGTATTTGGTTCATCAAGTTAGCTGTCATAGTTGGTGAAATTTTTTTGGGTCGCATCACACCCTTGTTAATCGAAAATAATAGTATAAAACATCTTCCGTTTGAGGGTTCTGCATCCATTCTTTCTTTGGGTTGTAAGCATCTTTAAGACATTGACTTCCATCTCAAGCAATTTCTTTGTTCTTGGAAAGAAATTCATGCTTGGTTATTGTATGTTTTCAGGTTCTTTCTGTTGTTGGACTTCTGCAAGATGAAGTTGATCCCATGGTATCAGTGATGAAGGTTGAAAAGGCTCCATTGGAATCTTACGCTGATATAGGAGGTTTGGATGCTCAGATACAGGAGATTAAAGAGGCAGTTGAGCTCCCTCTGACTCACCCTGAACTATACGAGGACATTGGTATCAAGCCTCCAAAAGGAGTTATCTTGTATGGAGAGCCTGGGACTGGCAAGACCTTGCTTGCAAAGGCATATGTTCTTATATTCCAGCCAGACATTTTTTGTTTCGATTCATATCTGTCTATACTAATTAATGCTTTAATCTCGGTGCTTTCCCTACCCCTTTGTATCAGGTTAATCTCTTTTCTGATTAGGGGATTAAAGATGTCATGTCTAGAGTCTAGACGTAAGTGCAAGGTGTCAGGCATGATAAGCTTCCAAAAATCAGAGTAGAGGGACAGCATAGACACATGTGAACTTGAAATATATGATTTTGCATGTAATATGCAATTGTTAATTATTTATCTTGGTCATAGCTACTTGTTTACGCTATTATCATACGGTTAGCTTCTCTTGTTTTTTTGCTGTATAAAAATAGATCTGACAGTGTTATGTCATTTATGTTCTTTCAGGCTGTGGCTAATTCTACATCAGCAACTTTCTTACGTGTTGTTGGCAGTGAATTAATTCAGAAGTACTTGGGAGATGGTCCCAAGTTAGTTAGGGAACTCTTCAGAGTTGCTGATGATCTTTCCCCCTCAATTGTCTTCATTGATGAAATTGATGCAGTTGGTACTAAGAGGTAAGTTAGTGAAACAATTATGCCTTGATGGAAATACATGTGGAATTTTTCTCATTAATCTGTCGTACAGGTATGATGCCCATTCTGGTGGTGAACGTGAAATTCAGAGGACCATGTTGGAGTTGCTGAACCAATTAGATGGCTTCGATTCAAGAGGAGATGTCAAAGTGATTCTTGCAACAAATCGAATTGAAAGTCTTGATCCAGCTTTGCTTCGTCCTGGTCGAATTGATAGGAAGATTGAATTTCCCCTACCTGACATCAAAACAAGGCGGCGTATTTTCCAGGTATGTGATTGTCTCATGATGTGTTGAAACTCTATATCAAATATGTTTCAATCTTCTCATTTACTTATAGAGTTTGGGTCTTTAAAGCTTGTTTCATTATACTAAGCCACTTTCAAATCTTTGGGCTACAGATACATACATCAAGGATGACATTGGCTGATGATGTAAACTTGGAAGAATTTGTGATGACAAAAGATGAGTTCTCTGGAGCTGATATAAAGGCAATATGTACCGAGGCTGGTTTGCTTGCTTTAAGGGAGCGACGCATGAAGGTGAGACTGATATAAGTTCCTAATAAGAAAAGTCTGCACTTCTCTTTTATTATATAGGTCAATTTTCTAACATATAAGTTTAATTCTACAAGATTACACTCTGGATCTATAGGTAATAGAATTGAAACCAAATTGAAAAATTTACCAACATGTAAATTCAATACCACAAGATGACATTCTGAATCTGTAGGTATTAGAATCAAAAGGAGATTGATAGCCCTTAGCATTGCAAATGCTTGGCAAATTGCCAGAGATACATGCATATAATTCTCCTTTTGATTTTAATTTTTCATAGGATGCAGAGAAATTTGCTAAATTTTCATTGTTAGTGGGAAGAAAGGATCTATTACTGATATATTCTATCACCCCATGTTCCTAGGGAGTAGATGCTGAAAGATGTACCTCCTTTGGTGTAGAAAAGAACTTTTTTAGCATTTTATTCATAGTTATAATTTAAATGAATAAACTGAAAACTGTAGCGTCAAAATGTTTCCTTCTACAAGATATAAAGATCTTCAAGAGACCGCACTGAGCTACCTTCAATCTGCAAGTAGAATGCTTCGTTTTCTTCAATTTTTGGGTTATTTTCTTGATAACCTACCTATATTTTGGGCTAATAATGTGCCTACTACTGCCAATTTTTGGCTGTATTAGAGACTTGATGGTGCCGTAATTTGCAAAAGCAGTAAAGGGAACTCTGATATATCCTCTTTGTGTTCTGTAGAAATAAACTTGTCATTGGTACTTGTAATTGGTGTTATGACTCAATAGCATGCGGTTCATGATTCAAGTTGTTCATTGAAGTTTTACCTGAATCTAGGTATATTGAGTAATTTCTTGATCCAAGGGTCTGATTTTAAATAATCCCATATTTCAGGTGACGCATGCAGACTTTAAGAAGGCCAAGGAAAAGGTGATGTTTAAAAAGAAAGAAGGGGTTCCAGAAGGGCTTTACATGTAGAAAAACTTGGTTTTACGTATGTTTCGAAGAAATCCATGTTCTGTTGTAATCCTGGATTCAAGTTGTTTTACCCAAAATATTTTCTATTTTCCTGGCAAACACATACAGTTTAGGAACAATTTGACCATAAAAGATGTTAATCGTTTTTTAAGGCATTTACAAGAACACTTGAATGATTTCTTGTCTAGTTGGTTTAAACCACATACGATATCACTCTTTGCTTGAAGCCTTTGACAGTTGATACATTCCTCTTGGTTTTGGTTTCATCATCAACATTGAATAAAAAACATATATACAGCAGTATGAATATCACTTCTATAATTGAGTTGGATTGAAAATGACAAGCAGACAAAGATTCAAATCTCTCGACATAGAAAAAGGAATATTTATTTTTATGAAAAATGTTTCTCCTCCTTGACAAATATCCAAAAAAAAGAAGTGAAGAAAAAAAAATGTTTCTTTTTAATTTACAGTCACCAAGGTAAAAGGTGGCTAAATGAGTATAGTCATCTCACCTATGTGATTTCACTCTTTAATGTTGGAAATATGAATATGGTTCTTTTTTTTTTTTTTTTCAAGGCTGAATATTCCAGACATTGTTTAAGATAAATTATTATCCGCAAGTCAATTTACAAAATAATTTAATAAAATTCCTCTGCTGTTTTTTTATTATTTTAATTGTAGCTTGAGAAAACATAAAATCTCTCGATTTTTTTTTTCCAGATAGAAAAGAAAATTAAAGTTTTCATTTTTCAACAGTTAGAGCCTCCGACTCGACTGGGGTCAGTCGACAGCCAGTTACCTAATACCGAGAAGGTAAAAAAAAAGCCTTGAAATTTGAAGAGAGGAGAAGACAGAACTGAGAGTCGAGGCACCGTCTTAGCTACGCATACCTTTCTTCCTCCTCCGATCAATAACTGTTTTGGTCTTTTTGGGTAAAGCTTTTAACAAAATAGTCAATCATTATATTAAGTTGGGTCTTTTGCTTTGTTATTTGTGGAAGAAGGAAAAATGGGAGGTCCTTCGCGGCAGTGTCAAGTTTGCAACCAATCTCAATCCAAGTACAAGTGCCCCTCTTGTCTTGTTCCTTAGTGAGTTCTGCTCCCTTCTTTTTATTTTTCTGACTGTTTTTGTTTTGGGTATATTTTCATTTTATTTTCTTTCCATCCCAGTTGTTCTCTGGCTTGTTTTAAGAGGCACAAAGGTATGACACCCAACAATTTCTCTTTCTTTCTTTTTTTCCCTTTTCAATATTCGATTTCATTAACTCTTTTATTTCTTCATGTATGTTGATTAAATATTCGACTTTTGATTAATCTTTTTGCTTTTTATCATGGGAATTTTCTTGGCCTAATGCTTTCTCATCAACTTGTATTCTAATAAGGAGATGAGCTTAGCATCCATTCTACTTTTGCTTTAGCAATATTAGGAACAACTGAACCAATGTTGTTTGGTCTCAAGCTTAGTTTCCACCAACCGACAAAATTTGCCTACAATCTAAGTTTTGTAGGCAAAGATTAAAAGGGATATTTGGGTTTGTCTTCCTTTTACCCTACTTGCACTTATGTAGCTGAAGTCATAAGTTGGCATTGTCGTTGTGATACTAGAAATGGAAACTAATGTGCTTTAATGAATGATGCAGAAACTCCCTGCGTGAAGCCACAACCCACAAAGGAAAAATCTGGTGAGGGCTTCTTTCTTCCAATTGGATGTTTCTCAACTCCATGCTTTAATCAATGATGCTTGTGTTTTTCATGCATTTTATGTTCTAAAAATTTCTTTTGAGGTATTGTTAAATGTTGAGAGATAATAATATTATTTCATATATTTCATACTAAGGTTGTGGCCTTGGGGGTGCTTTTCTTTTGTAGATGATGCTATAAAGTGCAAACTCTGATGAAGTGGTAAATTTAGAATGCTGCTTTTGCTTTATTAATATCAAGAATACCAACACTTCTCTTCTTGTCTGTTAAATAATCCATTTTGAGCTGCATGTAATTGTAAACCAGTCGCCAATATAAGTGATATGTATGTCCCGTCAAGCTTGGTTTAACCGGTAAATAACATGGCTAAAGGGTTTACTTCCGGAAGCCAACATTAAAAAAATAATCGATAGTTTCTAGCTGAAGCTGGCCTTCTCTCTGTGGTTCCAGAATTAAAGTGTATGGATGATGCAGGAAACCCTTGTGTGAAGTCAGGGTCCACTAATGATGCAGTAACAACTAGCGTCCAGCCAGAGTCCACTAATGATGCAGAGACCCCAAGTGTCAAGCCAGAATCATCTGAAGAAAGATCCAGTAAGAACTGTGTTCCTCAACAGCATGTTTTTCAATGTTATTATTCATTGGTATAAAAATTCAAACATGTGTTTGATGTTTATCCTTGGATATATGCTTATTTGCAGTCTTTCAATTGATAAGAAAACTGACTTTTAATGAATCATTCACGTAATAAGTAGTCTGCTTCAACATTTGAGTCTTATTCATATTTCCTTTTCACATGTGCTTATTATGAACTACAATTTCTAGTAACATCGTTTAAGAGCCTTCATAAACACTTTTCATCAATGAAAACCACCATTGCTATTAAAAGCAAATGCTTTTTCTTATATGTAGACTGGGAAGTACCTTTATGGTTTCTCAGCTTGGGCAAAGGAAACATGTTATACCGTTTGCTCACTTGACATGTGACAGTGTCTAACTTTAACATGAGTTTTGGTGATCATCATAACTCAAAGAACTCAGTTTCATGAAATATCATCCTCATGCATGCAAATTATTTTCTTTTTATCTTCTTGGTGTGTTAATATCAGCAACTTAATCAAATGTCCCTTTCCTTTTCCTGGAAACTTTCAAAACTCAAATGTTGCTTGTTTCATTTCTTTTAGCTGCTACCCCAGGATTTCAGGTGGAAAGGAAACTAGAAGTTGATGACCCAAGTGAGGTGCTACAAATGTTGCAAATGCAGGCTATTGGTATGATTTTTTTTTTTTTTTTAAATCTGAGCCTAGCTCAAGTATCTTTAGTAAAAGTTCCTTACAGTGGTGGGCAGCATGTTATTTGGGCAAATATTTGAAAAAAAATTTTGCCACTCCTAATTATAATTTAAGCTAGCATCTTGTTGATATTTGCCGACACAATAGAGATCTCCAAGTGCAATAAAATGCAAAATAGATGATGGGAGGCTTCATCATTAGATTTGTAAGAAACTCAGTAATATAGGAACACGAAAATGGCAGAATAAATTGAAAATGCCTGTAGAAAGTTAGCATTCAATGAGAATTCAACATAGTCATGGGAGAAATACTGAAGGCTCATAGCGCTATCATTCCAGGACTTGGTGTTCAAAATATTGTTGGTGAGTATAGATGATTCAATGGTTATAATATGTTAAAAGGAGATGCAAAAGGCATTGTGGTAGAATTTTTTGCATTTTATTGTAGGTTGATTGCATTGCATTTAGCTAGATTTGGTATGCTTTTCTTTTTGCACTTATCCCAAATTTTCTAATAAATGTGATTTGCATGAAGTTTTTACATCTGGCACCAACGCCTTTTTGTCATATCAGCTAAATCATTCTCAGGGTTTCTCATTGTCCCTAGATTGAGATGTATGGTAGAAGGTTAAATGACATCCAATTTAAGATAGATAGTTGGTATGATAAAATGTTTTCCCAATGTAGAGAAAATTGTCTTGATACCAAAACAGGTTAAATACCGTCACACAACAGTTTAAATCTACCATGTTCTCTCATGCAGCTTCTTCCAGTGAAGTCCGTGAAGCCTTGAAGGATGAACATCTTCAAAAACTCATCTCTGATATTGATAGCTCCCCAGATGCAATGAATGTCAGTGCTGTTATTCCTACTTGAAAACTGAGACCTGAGACTTTTAATTTTATCATGTTTGTTAATGTTGTCCATCTGCCTGCTAAATCTGTTTTTACCTTTTGTTAGGAACTTGACAAAGCTATGGGAGTGGATGTTTTCCGCATTTTCAGTGATAAGGTATTTTATTATCTTCAATTAGAGCAAGTCTTTAGTTCTTAACAATATTCATCTGTTCTTGTTCGCCTGTTGGGTATCCACATGAAATACCAGATAGCTGCTGCAGATCAGAACTTGGTAATATCCAAAGCTAAATGCTATTGTTTTCTCTGTTATCAGATTTTATCTGCAATCAACCCATGACCGCTTATTGTTATAACAAGAAAAAAATTTGTTTGTACCGGAAGGCTTGTATTTTAGGAGGCCTCAGAAGTTCTTTGCGGAGATGTCAATAGAGTTGTGTACAAGTTTTGCTGTGACTTTAGAGGAGAAATCATCCTGCCATCTCGAGCCTGGTCAGGGGTTGATGTTTCTTTAAGTTCAGAACGAAGGCTCATTAAATGTAGTAATTGGCTAAGTCCTTAAACATATCCTCTCCCAGGAGTTTTGCAAACACATTTTTCTTTTGTTGTGCATGTGGTGTGAGTTTATATCTCGATGAAAATGCCTGCCATGGCCTCTCTTTGTTACAGTAGGTCCCCATCCATTACTTATCTCTTCTACCCTGCTGCCAAATTTTCATTGTTTTTATATGAATAGTAATACTACATTATTTGAAAGAAGAGTTTAGGGGATGATTGACAATAGAAAATGTACTATGGTCGCTTATGGTGTGAAAAGTCAAGCTTTTAAGTTCTTCGAGGAGGCTGCATATCATTGTCATAATGAGAATACAAAAAAAAAACGAGGGTCTATCATCTCATCTATTAGATGAACTGAACGTAGACCCCTTTTTTGTTCTCTGTATGACTAATGAGAGGTCGTTCTCTTACTTTTTGGCCGAATGTTGGTCGAAGTGCCAAATTCTGAGAGTTCTTTTATCGCTTCATTATCTGCTATCTGATACGTTCAGATTGCTCATACAATGCCTGCCCTTCAGTTTCAGTCATCCGTACTGTATTTTGAATATGGTTGTCGGTTAGCCTACAGCATATTTATGTCCCAATTTATTCTGTTCCCCCAGTCGTCTATATGTATGCCCACCTACATTATTTTCAGCATATATTGATGAAGGGTCCTGCTCATACCTATGATGTCCGCCTTTCTTTGTTGGAGGAGATGGTAGGTGGGCGTGCCTTTTTGATTGGAGAACATTGATCCAAAGCTCAATATGCACTGAAAAGATAAAAAGGTGACGGCGACCATTTCTCATATGCACCTTTTTGAGGTTCAGAGAATTGAGGCAAAAGTTCAATATGAGCTGAAAAATTTTAAAGGGAACAGCGACTCTTCCCTCCTTTGCACCTTTCTAAGATTCAGAATATATATATAGCTAGTGATGGGGGTGCAGTCACGAGCTTGAAGCCAGTCTACAAGTTGAAACCTAAAAGGAAAAATTCTCTTCAAAGCTCCGCTTGATATTGCTTTGTCGTATATAAAATGCGTTCTCTTGAACCTGTACCTGCTGAACCTAAAAATATATACGCAATGGACCACAATTCTATGAACAGTTCATCGACGAAGACAATTTTTTTTTTGAACCTTTTTCAGTGGTGACATATGGATAACAATTTCCTCAATTTTGCTAGCTGGGTTTAGGCCTCTTCTTAATGATAATAAAGGCTATGGCGATTACGAGAATCAGAAACAACTTGGAAGAAAGGAGATGGAAGTTGTCAGCAAACCAGAGTCATCCAACCAACCAACATTCCCCACCAAGCCAAAGATGGTTTTTTTCATTTTTTGCTAGATTCTGCTGTCTAAGCCTCTTTCAGATTCTGCACAAATTGAAAACAAACTATATAACGAAATATGGGGAAAATGGAAAGGGCATACAAAGGTGAGCAATATTTCTATGGTGGTGTAATAATTACATGTTAGCTGTGCTATAACAAATGAGCTAACTGAAAAAAGTCCCAGACAGGATGTTTCTCTTACACTACAAAACTTTAGAAAGGCAAGAACCTTTCCGGAGTAATCCACGAAGAATTTTCAACCTGTAATACACGAGAGGACTTGTCTTTAACGTTTTATGTTATGGATTCTGAAGGAATACACAAGCAACGCTCGACCAGAATTCAATAACAGAATCTGCTAGCAGTCCGATTGTAGCTGGCCTTGACTTGTAAATTTTAGCCAGCCAAGATTTTAGCGCTTTCGTTTCGTGTCACCTTCAAGATATCATCCAAAAAAGTTAATTAGAAATCATCCATGATAAGACAGTAAGTGTTCATTTAAGTGCTAATAAATATGTCTCACTCCTCATTGGAACTGACATGGCTCATCATTTTAACTTGATTTCAATTTACATGTTGAGTTCTATCTAATAGGTAAAAAGCATGTCAGAGTGGAAGCAGAGAATACTTGGTCTGAAAGCCAGGTTCTTTTAGCGTCAGATGCTTAATCTACAAATGCCTTGCATATCCTAATCATAAGGGTATATTAGATGAGGTCATGGCATGTTGTCAACAACCATATATTAATAATGCGAAACTAGAAAATAATGGACCCACCTGATGGGTGATTTTCAAGATTCTCAGCTCCCCTACTGGTACTTGGTTTGCGGGAACTTGGCTGGGCCATTGCTTGACTCTGTAAAAGGTGAAATTCGTAATCAATATTTCATACTAGTATAAAGTATGTGATTGAGCTGGTGTTATCAGACATATGAGGAAAATTTTTCTTTAGGAAAATAAAAAGGATAAGATTAGAAATTAAATTTGTAAGTTTCCAAGCCAACCTTCTTTTAAGATATTGTCAAAGAGTGAACAACCTCAAGCCTAGACAATAGCTGAAAAAAGCTGTGAATAACTTACGGGTATTTTCCATGTTTTCAGAGGAAGTTATAATGCAATTGATGAATCACTAAGACAAAAGGTTCGAGAGAAAATAATATAATAGATATGAATGCCCTAATTTGGAGGCTAGATGACATGCTAAACATTACCTGTGGAGGGGGTAATTGCATCTGGTGAAGACCAATATAGTGCTGATAAGGATCAGCAAAATTTGGGACCTGTGGCTGGTTTGGGTTTTGCGTGCCAAGCGGGTTTAGCATGGCATCTGATTGATTGTTTGGTTGGATTCTTGATGGATCAGGAGCAGGAACCGGTGGTGGCATATGAAAGGCTGGCATAGGAAACCTTGGACCCAAATGAGCTGCACCAGCTGGTGTTGGTAATGCTGAGCCGGCTAAAACATTGGGAAATGGCATCATTGGCCGACTTATTCCCATATCCATGCCCATGCCCATCCCAATTCCCATTCCCATTGTAGGCATGTACTGCTGAACACCGGGAAACATCATTGGAACCATGCCACAACCCATGGACATAATCTGCAGAAAGTTAAAACCTAATTTTGTCAGAAATAATGCACAAGCTCGTACTCTAAGATATAAAACAATGCTCATTAAATGAAATGTGAATGGAACATAACAATCATATCCCAGCTTACTGCATAGCATGTGGAGTGAAAGAAATTATTTACATGTACAAGCATGTTACAAGAGCTGAGTAGAAGTAGGAATAAAGTTCTATATATTAGAATGTGAAAATATGCACATTATTGATTGGTAAAATGAATGTCACAAATCCAGAAGCTCATGTCACTCCAATTTAACTTTCAGTGACTGTATTTTATTCTCTCAACTTGTTTGAGTTATTAGGCATATAAGAACATCAACGGACACTCCATGATATAGCTGTATAGAAAACGCCGCAATAATAAAAATGCCAGCATGTAAAACTCAGGAAGTAAAGGCTGGAGGAAAAAGTTGTCTAAAGGGTTGTGCCATCTCCAGCATAAGAACACTGGAGCTTATACAGAAAGAGATGCTCAACTCCTCTTCCTTGGTTCTCAGAGGAGACTGCATTATTCTAAAGTATAGAATTCTGAAATTTCAACCAATCTAGACAGAACATTTAGCAAAATTCATTCATTTAGCATGTAAAACTAAGAGAGGGTTGAAGAGTGAGCTGGAATTAATTTTGGTTAATGGATATTTTGGTTGTTAGGCAATGATTAGATTCTCCAGGATGTCCGAACATAACAATTTGCAAATACTAGTGGCTTTTGCTGCAGTAAGTCAATCATAATGTATTCAATTGAACAAAGTTTTCTTCAAATATACCAAAATAAATTGAAGAGTTACTGATTAATTTAAAGTTATAATTTGTTCTTTGGTGTTTCTATTTGACAATCCAAATGTTCTTTTTTTTTTTTTGGGAGCACAATCCATGTTCTTAACTTAGTCATCTTATCGCTTGGGGAAAAAAGAAAAGAAAAAGCTTCCAAATTCAAAATTCATCTATTTGTCTACATCAAGTAAAAATAATGTTCCCAAAAGAAATCTTGCCTCTTGAGCTTGGTGGTGTTTTGTGAATCTTATTATCTTTTTTTCACTTCAATGGCAAAGGTCCCTGTCATTAACAGTTTCATAAACATTCACAATAACAGTTCCATAAACATTCATAATAAGGCAGGTGAAAAATGTTGATTAAAGGCCTTCTAGTGTTGTAGCATTAAGTCATGATCCTCACATGTTACAAAAACATCTATTCTAGATGGAAAAAGACAAAAATTACTTATTATAGGCATTTTACACAACAATATTGCTCAAAAGGACAATAACCCAATCAAATCACTCCATGGAACTACTTTTGATATCGAGTTGTAAGAATGGATAAGCTATATAATCTCCCATATATGTCATTAACTAAAGTATAAGAAAAGATGTACCTGAACTTGCAACTGAAGTGACTTCAGGTACTCAATTGCTTCATCCAGCATTGAAGCTTTGTCTGACTGAGACTCAGGAATATGCAATATGTTAATAACGACAGAGAGACTAATATCCAAATCAGGAAAAACAAATCCGTAATGGTAAGTGCAAATATAAGGGAAAATCATACACAAGACAAACCTTGTTGCAACGAGGTATAAGTTGTTGCAAAGCCTTCATCTTTTCATTTATCCTATCTCTGCGTCTCTGCACATGAATGAGATATTACACATCTAAAGGAATGCAATTACATAGACGAAGACCCAATTCATCAACAGTACTAAAGTGTCAATATAATACCGACCCTTTCCGAGAGGTTATGGACCTCCGCGGCACGAGACCTTTTTGTAGATGTGGATCCATGCGTTTGTTTCTTTGTGTCAGCAAATTCAAATTCAGCATCCTTTGGCAACAATAAAATTATCAGTAAAAAGCAAGATTGAAATTTGATAGAACGAAGGGGGATAAATAGAGTCACAGATTTTACTTTTTAACACATTAAAACATAAAGTACCATCCTAATCTCAACATACATGTAGCAGTGTCTATTTTCCACAAAGTGATTGCTTGGTTTAAACACTCTCATAAGTTTATCATAAGGGTACTTTAAAACTTGTGTACTTCACTATCCTTGTAAGGTTGACTGACTTATACTTAGGAAATTATGAACAGCTAGGAGAACTATAACATAGCACCAAGACTAGAAGGCTATATTTTCCACACAGTTTTTTGTTTTAACCTTTTTGTAATTGAGCTAAACAATTAAAAATATGAAACCACCCACTTTTCCAAAAGAAGAAAAGAGATATAGTTTGATGCTTCTATAATTAAAATATATTTGGTTCCCAAACATATAAATATAGTCAATAAGACATAGGCACTTGATGTGCATTCTTAAGACTATAAAAAGATTCGAAGTGGAGTTACTATTATTGTCCACAATATTTAAATTCATCTTAGAGCTATAGAAACACCCTCATCCACATTTAGTGTTTTGACATGCTAAATGATCAACTTCCTAAGTTTGCTGAGTGAAGAGTACTTAAAGAACATGATTTCTTTATATAACATTCTCTAGCTTTGCAACTGAATCAGGTGCCATCAAAACTAAAAGATATTGACACCAATGAAACAATACAAGTACCATTAGAAATAAGTTATCAAAGCAAGAAGAGATTAATCATTTAGACTTAAATGTAATTTTTATTAGTTAACAGAATGACCTTACATTTTACAAGTACTCTGTCTTAACCAATTTATACAAAACTACCCCTTATTTTGGTAATTGAGTTGGAGGAGAATATAAATTGAAGCTGAGAAAAAGAACTCCTTCAGCTATCTTATTTTCACGTTTTCTCTTTCTCTTTTTGGACAAACTTTACTAAAAATCTATCATTCTCCTTGTTTTTTCTTATTTTGTTCTATTAATGAAAAACTAGCTTAAACGCCTAAGCTTGATTAAAAATAATCTGTTTCTTATATTGTTTTAAATAACAAATTATCTTAATATTGTTTATTCTCAGAACTCAGACACCTTTAATCCACAATAAATATAAGTGATTTGATTAATTTTAGATAAGTTAAACATCAAAACTCAATGTTAAAGCTATTACGTGTGTGTTTAAATAACGTCTTATGCATCCTAGTATCTAGGTTTGCCAATGGCTGTTTCTTTCATAAGTCCCATGCACCCAACTTTAAAATTAGAGAAGCTAACATTAGCATTAAGCTTAATGAGAAGTGCTAAATACTAGAGAATGTTTTAAGCAATAAAAATATCATAAAGAAATATGTCCAAAAGCCAACTGACACGTGACAACCGGGGTATAAAGCGGACGGGGAAACCAGTCCCGTGATATACGCCGTCAATCCAAAAATATTCTTATTTTAAACGCCATTCTTTTATATTTAAAAATAAATTTATTTGTATATAATAATAATATAATTTTTTAACTTTGAATTAAGATATTATCACATTTTATTTTTAACATATTTTTAAAAAATAGGTATTATGCTATTGATACTCGCTTTGAGTTCAAAAACTCAATAAATTTGATTTTTTTTTTAAATTCAGTTTTTTTCATTCCCACTTGACACCGCCAACCTCCTCCCCGTCCAATCATCAAATTCGTGTCAACTCTCCTCTCCCACCCCATTTATGTCGTACACGTGGCATTTCCCAACTCGATACCAGTGCACCTGTACAGTACTAAAATTATACTTCCAGTGACAAGAGAGGGGTGCTCACGTTAAACGACGTCAACCATAAGTGCACGTTAGCAGAGACAAACGAGAAAAAATTTTTTAACTCCAATGAACTAACCTCGCTCTGACATTCGGCCTCGTCATGTTCTCTTCCTTTACGTTTCCGGTCCTCAGCCGGAACCGCCTTTAGAGTCGCCGGTTCGGCGCTGGCGCTGGCACTGGCACTGGCACTGGCACTGGCACTGGAGCCACCGGGTGATGATATCATCGTGACCTCGCACGTGGCTAAATTGTCTTTGCTGGCGCCCATGCTGACGCCAACTGATTGCGTGTTGGTAACTGCAGTGGTACTCATGTTGGCGCATGTATTGTTGTTGTTCCTGCCAGATGCCGCCTCGGTGTTGCTTGGCACAGCCTGAGAGGCACCCGATTCGGGAGCCATCGCCGGAGTATCGCTAGAATCAACGACCGTCGATTCCCTCACTACACTCTTCGAATTCAACGGTCCAAATTGCCCGGCCCTCGCCGTTTTATGCCTGGAGAAGTGGACGAAGTTCTGGATCCTCGTCGACTCCAAGTCATTCCTCCTTGCTGGTGGTATCGGGGGCCTAGAAGCTGACGCCACAGCGGAAGCCGAAGCAGAAACTTGAGAAACTCTTCCAAGAGGAGGAGGAGCCGAGGTTGCGGCGGTGGATGTAACGCAAGGGGCGGCGGAGGAAGGATAGAGGAGATCAGTGCAGAAATCTTGGTCGAAGTTGGCATCGCTGAGAGGATAGTGAAGCCACGAAGCCATTTCATCTTCTTGCATGAAGAGATGATCGGTAACTGGTTGCTGTTGTTGTTGTTGATGATGGTGATATTGGTGAGATGATGATGGTCGGATCTCTCCGGAAGCTGATTGGTAGGCGTCGTGGAATTTGAACGGCGGAGATTTCTTCAAAGATCTTTGGTTTTGACTCTGCATAACAACTTGACCGTTTTGCCACAACAGCTCCATGATTTCATCCTCTGGCCTGTTTCGTAATTTCATCAGTTCATCAGTTCACAATTTTCACAATAACAAATTTAAAAAAAAAAAAAAGGCAGCAGCAGCTTCTTACATGGAAGGTCTTTTAGGGCGAGTTAAACTAGAAGATGAAGGGATTGAATAATCGTCTTCCATTTCAAAATCGGGAACGCAGTGATTCATCCTCTACTATTTTTCTTAACACTCTAAGCTACATAAAACAAACAATCAAATAAAGCAAAAAGAAAACCAAAAAAAAAAAAAAAGAAAGAAAAAAGCTCTCCTAAATGAACGATTTAAGCCATTAAAAATAGAGAATTGTTTCCTTTTCTTCTCCGGAAATTCTAAAAGAAATACATAAAAGCGAGTATTATCTCTGTTGATGCTTATGCTGCTGCTGCTGAAATTGATGACGAAAAAACCCTAGAGAAAAAGGGAAATACAATTGAAATCAAAATCCATAAGAAGTGACAAAGCTCTCCAACGCTGCTCTCACTTTGCAGTGCTAATAAACAGTGAGGTAAAAAGGAGGGGGTAGGAGAAGAATTTCTTTTTCTTTTTCAGAAGATTTCTGTTGGGTGTGGTATTTTTGGGCTGGATTTCTTTTGCAGGCACCCCCTAAGATAAGGTCCTCTCTCTTTCCCTCTTTGCTATCTCTGTTTCTCTCTCTCCGAATAATATGAAGCAAAAGCCGAAACGGATTTTTTAGAGCAATCATACCAACGCTTTCTATCTTTCTTTCTTATATACTAATAATAATTTTTTTTCTTTTTTTGTACAAGTAATTATTACTATAAGTACTTCTTAGTTATGTGAAAAATGGTGGTCAAGTAAAGTTAAAATAAATTAATAAAGAAAAGCTGATAGTAGTTTGTTTGTGATTAAGGGCTCGTTTGGATTCATTGTTACTATTATTTTTAATTAGTGAAACAAGCGGTGAGGTGAGGATTAAATGGATAAAATCCAATCGTAATCGGATGCCCCCAAAAGTCGTCGTTTTTAGGACCCCCACTCTTTGTGTCGAAAATTTGACAGTAGTGGTTATGTGGGGCCTCCTTCCACTATTTTATTCACTATATACGTATGGTCAATTTGTATTTTCCCACCTTTTTTTCATTTTTTGAATTATGCAAAAAATCAATTAGTTTAGGACCGTTCCCTTTCTTTTCGTTGGCCCCATTGATAATTACGTAATTCTTTCATAATAATTATTATAATTTTTATGGTTTCATTTTTTTAAATAAAATAAAATTCATTCAACTGTGAGAATGCAGTATTACCGTTCAACTCATGGCTCTCTTTGGTTCGGTTTTTTTTTTATAATATTATTAATATAAAATATTATATTTATAATAATAAAGCGTTACAATTTATTATAAAAAATATATGAATTATATTTCGTTTCGTGATTTAATAATCACATAAACTTTTAAAAAATATATAAAAATTTGGTTCCAAATCAATTTTTTTTTTTTTGTAATAGGGCTTTGTCCCATTTAAAACCAAAAAAAAAATTTATGAATTAAATCAAAAGCTAATTTTTGTTTATTTTAAATATTTCAATTCTTAATATTTTTAATTTTAAAAAAAATTAAATCAAGTGACCGCCTAAAACGAGACATAAGATTTAAACAATAAAAAAAAATATCTCCAATCTCATTATATAATCCAAAATCATATAAATCCCTAAAATAAACGTCATTAAAAATTCATAATTTTATATATTAATATTATTCATTTCAATTTCTATAAATTGAGCACTGTTAATAATAATAATAATAATGAAAGATAAAGATTTTGGTACGAGACTGATAGCTAATGATGAATAAGCAAGGAATGAAGGAAGGGATCGAATATATCTAATCTGTAGTCTAATCCTTGTTAAAAAATAGAAGTAGTGCATTAGTGATTGGAGTTTTGCGTAACCTTGGTGGTACAAAAAATGGATACGGCTGTACTTTCAAACCAGTATTTCTTTATATATTTTTTTCCATTTTTGTTGTTTTTAACATGTTGTTCTCATGCTTTTAATTTATGATAATGAAATTTGTGGCTGATAAATATGTGGCTTCATTTCAAAATTAAGACATTTTATAAATCTCAACGATAATATATATTGAATTTATAAATTATAAAAAAATTATTGTAAATCTTATAAATAAAAAATTCTATCTTTATCTAGTCAATCGCATCACCTAATTTTTCTTTGCTCCCTTATATGTGTTTTAATATTCATAATTTTATATCTGTTCCTGTGTTGACGCCAAATTTGAGAACCAATGTTGTAGATTAAAGAAAGAAAAAAAAAGCTACATTTAATTATTGTTTAAAAAATGATTGCAAACTTAGCCATACAAATAAATTAGTTGATTTGCATTAGCAATGTAACCACTAAAAAATAATTAAATAATTAATGGCATGCGAGTGGGGTTTGCTTTTAATTAACTAGAAAATGACAATTAACGGTAAACTGTCTTGTGATGTAAAGCTAATTGATCCTTGATGTGATGTAAAGCTTTTAATGCTCTTAATATTCGTAGTATAACGTTAATCCAACACTTTAATATAAAAGTATTCAATTTTAACCGTATTTTAATTTAATTTTATATTTAATGAACTATAATTGGTAAAAAAAATTATTAATCTCATAACATCATTAATGAATTTACTTGTAAGAATTACTTTTATGAATAATAATTTGATTTTTAATAATATTGATTTTATTCTATTTTTGGATTCGAATTTATAACCAAGATGTAATATTTTTTATTTTGATTTAAAAGATTAAACCTAAAATTATTTTTATTAAGAAAAAATTTACCGAGTTTCACTCGTTTCTAGTATTATATATAGATGGATGGCCAAAGTTTAATAAAATGTGTTAATTTCATTGTTGAATACAAAGCGTATTATCTTTGGTTTTTTGTGTATTTTTTTTTTTTGAACTTTTTAGTGACGTTTGGTTTACGCACCTTGAAGGCGCGTGAGTGCGGGAGGCTGTGAGCAAATAAAATAGAAATAAAATGTGAAGAAAATAAAATAAAGGGAAAAAAATACAGGCAACTGTTGCATTTTAACATTAGAATAAAGACATAATAATAATAATAATAATAATAGTAATAGTAATCATAGAAAAGGCAAAACAGGGCCAGATAACTCTCAAAATAATAACTTTTTTTTATTTGAAAAAAAAAATGGAAAGAAAAACAGCAACGATGTAAAGGTGTTGGTGGTTGCCCGAATCTGGTTGAAAGCGAGGGTGGTGGAGGTGGGTCGAGGCAGTTGGGATGGTGGATAGATGCGAAACATCTTTCCCTCTTCTTCATATGGACTGTCCCTTCACATTCAGGCACATCCTGTGACCACAGTTTTGATCATTTTGTACTTTAAAATACTCCAACTTCTCTCACCCTTTGACACAGGAGTTTCCCTAGCTATCTACCCTCTTTCAATCATTAATTTTTTTTTTATGGGGGGAGGGGTGGGGGGCTTTTGTCTTGACCATGTTTTTGTTTATTGAGGATATATATATATATATATATTGATGCACAGAACCAAGAGAGAAAGCCAATAAAACCATGTATTTAAACATCAACTGATCAGAAATTTAGTACACTTGCCTTTTCGTAGTGAAAGGCTGAGGAGAGGACAGTAATGTGCTGGGAATATATGTAGTCCTATTAGGGCATTTGACTTTTTCTTTCTTTTATAAGTAAAGGTAATGATAGTCAGATAAAGGGTAGTAATATTTTTTACTGTTAAAACAAAAGGCGACCTTGATTTTATGATGTGTAAAGTACTCAAGTTTAATATTATAAAAACAGTTACAAGATTGTTAAAAGAATATGCGAATAGTTTTAAAGGTAAAAAAGAAAACAAGATAACCTTAATTTTTTATTAAAACCTACTATTTTTTTGAGATCGACGTGTCAAGAAAATTAAGAAAAAAATACATTTAATATATATTTTTTACTAAACTTTCTTTTTTTTTAATATCAATGTTCACTAATTTTAGTTTAAAAAATAAGAATATTAAATGTTAAAAAGTAACAAGATATAATGTTAAAACATTTCATAAAAAAAAAAAAGAAACAAAGATAAAAAAATATTAAATGGGCAAAATATAATAATGGAAAAATATTTAATTTTAAATGACTTGTATACCATCCGTACAATTTTAGGCATACATCATAGAGTACTATATATGGATTAAGTCTAATGAAACTGCTATTATTACAATTGTATTAATTAATAATTAACAATTTTATGAAAAATTAAAAATCTATTACTTTACTAATAAATCATATATTATAATATTTATAAAATTTAATAAAAATCGAAAATTACAACACTTTCTACCACAAATTTTATTTTGACGTGATTCATTTGACTTTTAATCAAACACAATCAAATCAAATGTCATAACTAACAGATATGGACTCATAAAAATTTGTTAGAAAATTTTGAAAAAAAAAAAAAAAAACAAAGAAACACATCATATCTTACCCATATGTTTGCATTTTTTTTAAGGGCCACATATTCTTTTTAATTTTTTTTTTGGTCACAAATGCTTAATTCATGCTTCTAAACGTGACATAAGTTGTCAATCTTACATTATTTGATTTGACCGTTGATTCAACTGAAATGAACTTAGAAAAAAAAACAAATAATTTTTTTTTGTTTTTGTCCTTTTAATTTCACCATCGTTTGTCAAAAACAATGAGTCACAATAATAGACATGCCAATATAATCATTGTACTATTTTTTCATATTAACAAAGAAAAAATAAGCCTAATTCTATTTCATCACCATCATTAAATAGTTAAAATATACTTACAAATTTAATTATTTAATTTATTAATAATATATTAAAATTTTAATTTAAATCATTAAAATTTAATAAGTATAACGTCAAATATATATATAATAAAATAAAAACCCTATGATCTATATCTTGGCAATAAGACGTAGATGGTAATAGTAATTGAAAGGAAAAAAATTAGGGGAGGAAATGAAGGGAGGTAGGGATAAACAAATAATTAAATAAATGATAGAAAAGAATGATGCATCGTAAGACGTGAAGACGTGGCAAGTGTAGAGCGTGCCATGTTGGCCAGTGAACCGACAATTCGCAAATTGGGGAGTGAGAGTGCAGGGTGCGGTCCCACTTATCAACCGGCACGCTTTTATTAAGTGCTGCCCAGGTGGGTTCTTCCTCCCACACTCTTTTCGTTACTATTAACAACCTCCCCCAGTGTTTTCATTACCGTTAACAACCTTCCCCTCGTGTCAATTCTTAGGTTAAATTTATTTTTTTGAAAAATTAAAAAATTAATTTAAAATTATAATGTTTTGTTTAATTGAGATTAGTTTTTTTTATTTGATTTTGATTAAATTTAAATTTTAACTATATATTAAATTTAAATCAAATTTTGAATCAAAAAGTAAAAAATTAAAAAAATAAATCAAATTATATATTTTTCATAGTTTATATATATTTTAAAATTTTTACAAAACAATAATAATAATTTTATATCAAAATATATTTAAATATATTAAAATTTTATATTAAAATAATATATAAAATTTTAAAAAATTTAAAAATAATAAATCCAACCAAATTGAACTAATAAAATTCAGTTCGATTAGGTTCAAATCAAATAAAAATTTAATTTAAATTTAGATCAAATTTTAAAATTTTATAATATTATATAATATCTAAAAAAATTAACTAAATCCAATCCGAACCATTATCATTCATACTCAACTTCTCTTTTAATTTTTCAACTATAAATTTCTTTCACCATTTAATCACTATAAAATATAGTATCATCTTTTCATTATTTTATTTTATATATCTTCAATTTTACAAAAGTTTACAAATTTGAGGAAATTTAA